GTGTAACCTCTATAAGAAGCAGCATATATCTTGATTCAAAGGTCCGAGATTATGAACCGTTGCATTCATACAAAAAAAAAAAAACAAAAAGACAAAAAACAAAATGGTTGGATAAAAAATATATACATTTCAATTAAATTTAATTTAATTAACACCCTACTGCTGCTGCTGCTGCTGCTTCTTCTTCTTCTTCTTCTTCTTCTTCTTCTTCTTCTTCTTCTTCTTCTTCTCACTCTCCTCCTCCCTTTCCTATCATACCCAACGTCGTGCGTTTGTTCATTAATATTGCCAAATCAATTGATGCAAACCACCTAACGTTACCGAATGTTTAAAACAAACGTAGAGGAATCGACTGATCTCCTAATTTTTTGAAATGTAAATCTCTACAAGTAAAATTTTTATTTTTATTTTTTTACACGTATTGAGCACTTTTTAATAATACTTTTTTCTAGTATATTGACCTGAAAAGGTCAATATACTAGAAAAAATATATATATATATATATATATATATATATATATATATATATATGAGATGAGAGATAAAATAGCATAAAGGCTACCCAATGACGAAAATATTTAAGCTGCAAAAGTCATGAGAACAGAGATCTGAAAAAGTAGATACAAAAAAGTCCTACATTGATACCTCGTGCGAAGAAAACATCAACAAGAACTGTATGTACAACATTACATGAAGGTGTGGCAGATATTACCCAAGCGAGACGTGTTGCTGCAAGAAGCACCGGAAAGCCTGTGACATGTTTAAAACATGTTTTAATTAGGGATGTTTTTAATTTCCGAATACGGTTAGTACTTTGTGGCCTTGTTCGTAGTTAATCTTGTTAAGAGTTGTTTTTTTTTCTTTTTTATTATTATAGCTTCCGTAATCTTTTTTATCTTTTTTTGCAGGTGGATGCAGTTAATATATTTCTACTAGTGTGTTTCTAATGGAGTCTGGTAAGTTTGTCTATGTGTGTTTAACAATATTAACTTCGAACAAGGCCACAATGTGCTAACTGTATTCGGAAATTAAAAACATCCCTGCTACACACTAATGCATACACATAATGCACACACTCAATTAAGCTGAAAAATCGAATCATCCTTGATAATAGCTAAAGGTATAGGCGTAAGTGCTCGGAAATATAAAACAGTTGGACAGTTTTTACACACTCTTTGTCTAGAAAAGAAAGCTCTTGTTCGAACACAAGAAAAATTAAATAAAAAGCTTAGCCATAGTACCTTGTCTGTCATTTTTAATGAAACATACATAAACGAAGGATTTCTGCCTAAATATACAACTATATACAACTATATATATATATATATATATATATATATATATATATAGATAGATAGATAGATAGATAGATAGATAGATAGATTTCAACGAACGAACATTATCTGTGAGTTCAAATGCCCCTTGAGGAACTTTGTTCCTGACCAAACTGAATTCATAAAAAATTACATCAGTCACACAACTACATGTTTATCCAGACGCCTTCCGTTACACCTCCCTGACCACTATTAGAATCTATTTAAACACACAAACTTACCAGACACCATCCGAAACATACTAGTAGAAAATACAAACATATTAACCTCATCCACATGTAAAAATGATTAAAAACAATGGAAGCCCTAATAATAAAAAAGAAAAAGCCAACACTTAATAATATTAACTACGAACATGGCCATAATGTCCTGACTGTCTTCGAAAAATAAAACATTCCTATAACTCTAGAAACATGCACGCAACCCATACACCCCATTAAAATGCAAAAATAAAAATTATCCTTGATAATGGCTAAAAGTATAGCCGAAAGCGCTCGGAATTACATGACATTGGACAGTTTCTACACAATATGTGAACAGAAAAGAAAACACTTGTTCGATCACAAGAAACATTAAACAGAAAGCGTAATCGTAGTACCTTGATTGACATACTTAAAGAAACATGTATAAATGAAGGATTGCTGCCTGAATACAAAATTATATATATATATATATATATGATACAAAATATAGTTTTAGATTATGTTATATATATATATGTGTGTGTTAACGTGCTCAATATCAGCAATAGAGTGTATGTGAATGTAAAAGTGAACATAAAAGTCATCACTCAGCGGCGACAGTCTGTTTCATTTTTGAACGCTCGAGACCAGCTGCAATCTTCAGCTGAGCGCCGTGCTTCAAAAAAGTTTCGCCTCATTAAGTTCAGTACCTCTCCACACAGTGGGCCCACCACAGCTGGATAATGTTACGTTGCAACCGAGTCTATGTTGTAAGCTGGACGCGACTCGATACGAATTTCCGGGTAATTCACGCACTGCCTTCCACCATTTCCTCGCCACAAATCTTATTCTGTTTTTGGATATCAGCGCACTTGAGAAATCTCTTTAAGGAAGCAGCCGGAAAAACTTCTACAGCCAACCTGAAACGGCACCAGATTGCAGCTGTATCTCACGGATCTCAGCTACCAGTTCCTCGTACGAAAGCAGCTTTCTTTCATGGGCCTCTTCAATATCTTTTTCCCCCATGCCACCGTCAGCTCGCCAAGCCACAGACATTTCTTCTCTATATATATCAACACTAGATCTGGCTTCAGTCCAGACACAATGACCCCCTCTGGCCGTGTAGCATCAACCAACACTGCCCACTTCCTTGAGAACCCCCGACCTGGTCTCCTGTTTCGTGTCAGGAAGACAATCCTTCGCAGGTCCGATGAAGGTATATTAGCACTTCTCGAAGCTGCTGCCACAACCTTCAAAACCAAGTTATGTCTAAAGGTGTACCAGCTATTCTGTATCGCCTTCGGGCAGGATGACAGCATATGAGGCAGGTTTCCGTATGCACCACACAATCGACAAGAGCGTGACTCCTGAATTCTCTATCTCCTTAAATTTGCCGGTGATGCCGCCACATCATATGATGCCTGAATGAGGAATGTCCTGCGCTGACACGCCACCAATTAGATCAACTGATCTGAACACCATCGATACCCTCCCAGTTGAGCCATCGATCATGCTGAGTCTGTTGGACAGGCAGCACCAATCGTATCTCTTTTCCAGCTTCTGAACCCCCTGTTCCTGTAATTCGCGTTGCTCCTGTCCACTAGCCTCTGACTAGAATCGCTCCCTCTCAACTAGACCAAGTCCAGCACGTCCCTCTCTTATAACACTCTGAACCGCTGCCTGATTTACCATCCCTTCCATTGTTGACATCACGTCTTCACGTCCGGCATATTTTCCCGGATTACAGCATCTTTTGATTCACACAACATAGACTGCAAATCTCACCTTTGCCACCTTGTACTCCTCCACCAAAGAAGTAACAGCGAGCTGCCATTCAAAGCGACCGGCGACTGAATCCTTGCAACACAAAGCCACTTTCGTCCGCATTTACTGATTTTCCTCTCAATTATCTCAACTCGAAACAGTGCCACCAAATATATAATTAGCGGCCACATTAGTCTCGGCATCAAACAAAAATGCATACACGAGACTTTAAATTCCCCAGGAAGATTGTCACTGCATTTCAACCCCTCGATGACGATCCGTCACAGGGAAGAAACTCTTCACACCTTACTCCCATACTGTTGATCTCCTTATCACCTATGATCGAAAACACTTCATTAATGACAGATATGTCGCCAGTCCTCAGAAGTTGATAAAGGAATTTCAAGGCAGGGATTACGAGGGCACGGTATTCCACATGTAAAAGACTTGAAAGACACTGAAGGTTTGAAACACAACACATAAACACATATTAAAATCTAATGTGGTTTTGGATGTATTGAGGGAAAAAGTTATGTCATCTTTTATGGAATTGTCAAAATAATAGACAGGCATAAGCATTGGTCAATAAGGAAATTAATTCGATAATTATGTGTTGTATCGTCGAAGTGAATGATACACAGAAAAGAATGAGGGCTTAATATATTTCTTCAGCACCAGTATCCGGTGCTAACGGATACATAAAAAAAAACAGAACATTAAGTTACACGACAATTAACAAGACAACTTACAAGGAATAGACGAGGGTCAAATGCTGCATAGCCAAACGAAGTAAGATCAGTCCGAATATTAATCAGCTTAGTATCAATTGTTGAAGTCCTTAATCGTAGACTATTTAAGGATTTGAGCCAGGTTATCTAGTAGAGTGTTGAAGGGGTGCCAGCTACTCTACAACAGTATGTTGAACATAGATATTAATAGACTATTGGGACATAAATAAGCGAGAGAAAGGCAGTAAGAGTGAGGCTAGTGGGCATACACAGAGTCCCTAGAACATTTTGCCCGTTGCATTGGTGTGAACAGAACAAGGGGGACCCTCTGTACGTTCAACGAGGAAACTGAAAACGCGATATCGCTCTAGAGGAAAAGTCCCAAATCTCGCCGTCTACAGATATCACCTTTATTCATCGATTACTTTACCTGGTACTACCTGGGATAAGATAAGCCATGCTTGGGGAACTTCGCTGGAAATTCAATATTACCTCAAGACAGTCCAATGAACCAGATCTTTCTTTTGGCCAGATAGAAATCCGTACTCAATGTGAATCTACTTCTCCGATTACACTAAAGGTGACCCTTCAGTGACTGCCACTGCCCAAAAATGTGAGCGGACTATATAAATATATATCTGGAATTCCCTACTTTCCCACGGAGTGGCACTTGATCTCGAATGTGTCCGTTTAATTATTTTTAAATTTTAATACTTTTTACTTAAAATTGAAATTGTCAAACCTCGATTTTACTGATGACTCAGTGGGTAATCAAAAAGCAGCCATTCGGTGGGGCCCACTCAACTATGTGTGTGTCCTATCCACTCGGAAGTCGGAATCAGGCAAATACAAGGACACAGAGGTGCAAGAACCGGACATGGCAAGTATGGGAGATTATGTGCTTCAGCTTATTTCAGAATAACAGTGAAGGAAACATACCTGAAATAATGTCGTGTAAAAGGAAACGAGAAAGACAAGTAAATCAGTCGGAATTAACCATATGCATATGCAGGAACTGAGATAGATAGATAGATAGATAGATAGATAGATAGATAATGAACAGGCTGAAATAGATAGATAGATAGATAGATAGATAGATAGATAGATAATGAACAGGCTGAAATAGATAGATAGATAGATAGATAGATAGATAGATAGATATGAAAAGACTGACAGATATTTAAATAGATATGAAGAGACTGCGATAGATAGATAAATGGATAGATAGATATATATGAAAACACTGACATAGATATTTAGATAGATATGAAGAAACTGCGATAGATAGGTAGATATATATATATATAGATAGATAGATAAAAATTGATTAAAATTGTTCTGATTTGAAAATGTTATACAAAATCCTGGAAATTTAATCAAAATTATATTTGACATTTAATACGTTTGTCCACTTGATATTTTCCATATGTGCGTCTCGTACGTCTAAAATCACATTTACCAACAGCGTGCGTAGGGAAGGAGGTGGGGAATGCCTATTTTGTATATCAATATTTACAGCCCGGAAGTGAACACCGACCGTTGAAGTCACTGCCAAATACGAAATTATTTCAATCAGGCCCACTAGATATATTGACTAAACTTTTGTGGGTCTGGCGCAAGTCTATCTTTCGGAGGACAACCAACGAGCATTTAACGCCCAACATTATCGGAGAGCGTTATAAAGAGGCTGAAATATTATACACAGATCGATATATAAGACACGACATAGACAGATAGATAGATAGATAGATAGATAGATATGAGCAGACTAAGAAAAAAAGAAAAAAAAACAGACCAATATAGGTATGAATTGATACGGAAAGAAAGAAAGAGACTGAGATAGATAGGCACTGATATATATATATATATATATATATATATATATATATATATATATATATATATATATATATAATGATGGCCATGTTGGCTGAAACTAGTCGAGGAATCTAACTGAAATAATAAAAAAGAAAAAATATTAATATACAAAAACAGTGTTTTTATTTTTTAATATTTTATTGCTCAAAAACATATATATATATATATATATATATATATATATATATATATATATATATGGGAGAGAGAGAGAGAGAGAAAAAAAGAAAAATAAACAGACTAAGATAGATATATAGATAGACAGATATGAGCAGACTAAGATAGATACATACATACATAGATTTGAGAAGACTAAGATAGATAGATAGATAGATAGATAGATAGATAGATAGATATGAACAGAATGAGATAGATAGATAGATAGATAGATAGATAGATAGATAGATAGATAGATAGATATGAACAGAATGAGATAGATAGATAGATATAAACAGACTAAGAAAGAAAAAAATGCGCCGAGATAGGTATGAACTGATATGGATGGAAAGAAAGAAACAGAGATAGGTAGAAACTGATATATATATATATATATATATATATATATATATATATAGATAGATAGATAGATAGATAGATAGAGAGAGAGAGAGACAGAGAGAGAGAGAGAACGAAAGAAAAAAGAAAAAGAGGCAGACAAAGATCGGTATATAGATATCTAGATCGTTAGTCAGTCAGTCAGTAAAGAAAGAAAGAAAGAAAGAAAGAAAGAAAGAAAGAAAGAAAGAAGAGAGACTAGAATATATATTAACAGATAAATATGAAAAGATTTAGTTTCGTGATTTAGTTTACAAAGAGCCTCGTCGTCCTACGATAAGTATTCAAAAGTGCGTCTTAACTAAGTATTAGCAAATAATCAGAATAAGATTGTATATCTCTTTGTTAATGTAACGGACTGAACTGACGATCGGGAGAACTGCACGCTGTTCAATCATGAAAGCGATTCTCAGAGAATGAACCGTGACTCTAGATTCTCCATCTATTTTTATTTTGGGGAAAGTGTGAACAAAGAACCTTATGTAGACGTAGAAGACCTCAATACGCTAAAACGACTCAAAGCAATATGACATTCCAGACACATCAAAGCAACTTCGCTTCTGAAAATTTCATTCAAGATTTTTTAAAGTTTTCTTCGACAATTCACGGATTCTCTTCCTAAATGAAAGAACACAAACCTCTTAGAAATATTTCCAACACACACACACACGCACGCACGCACACACGCACACACAGACATATGTTTTGAACAATAAAAAATATTAAAAAATTAAAACTTCCAGACACGCTGGGTTGTATATCAATATTTTTTTTGTTTTATTATTTCAGTTAGGTTCCTCGGCTAGTTTCGGCCAGCATGGCCATCATCAGGAGAAAAAAAATCCCTGCTTGTTAGTAGCAGTAAACTAAAGGAGTGAATGACTGTTTCTGAAGAAAGTGAACTTTATCTGTAGTTTTCATTTGTTTTTTTATCGTTAATTTTGGTCAGGCCTTGTGTTGGTCAAACGGCCTCTTTCAAGTTGTTTTTAAGATAGAGGATGGGAGATTCCTGACTATCAGAATTCCTTCCTTGGTCATTTTGACAGTTTTATTCGTTGCTGAGAATGGGATATGTGTGTTACGTATATGCTATTTTTTAGTTCTTTCAGAGTGTGTGTGACGTGTGCATGTGTATATATTTGTGTGAGTGTGTGTATGAGTGTGAGACCTCAACACCTCTGCAAGCATGTCTCTTTTGTGTGGGCGAAAAAAATGTAGTTAGGGCTTGATTTACAGGGTTATATATTAATTCTATCTATCTATATATATATATATATATATATATATATATATATATATATAATTATTTATTTAAAAATATGATTCCAAATCGCTACATAAGAGGTCTCATGTTTCAAAACTAGAGCCGAAAACTTCAATATAATCCTTTAAATTAAATCCTCAAGCGAAATTTTTGTTGGAATAACGTATATCTGAAATTTACTTGTTTTAAAATTGAAATCAAAATCCCCATGGTAACAGCTATGGTGAATTTTCTAAATTGGGTAGGCGAGTGTAGGGTGTTTATATTGAGTAGCGGTATAGAGATACTTTCAAGGTGTCAAGTCGGGGAAAGGTGGGGGTGTCAAAAATGAAACGGAAGATGTATTGGCCATCGTCTAGTTTGCTTGTCTATGGAGATTTATTTATTTATTTTATTTTATTTTATTATGAAAGGAATTGTGCATATAAAAAAAAAAAAAAAAAACTTTCGTAACGTTTAGTTTTTTGACGACTTCATAAAGGGTTATCTTATATGTAAGTTATTTAAACTACTAATTTAGGCTATGGATTATGAAGTGTGTTATGTAGTATGCATGTTTGTAGTTAATTATTCCTACTATGAATCTGCTATTTGTTAAACAAGTTATATAAAATTTTTTTTTTTTTTATCTAATAATTCAAACCAAAAATCTGATGATGCCTACAAAAAACCGTTAACTCGTGTCTATTATTTAATAGATTATTATTATTTAGAAGTTTAATAATGTGTAATTTTTCATGGAGGCACAAAGGGCATGGGTCATCCCAAGCTTTACAAATTCTAGCCTTATCAATGATTTTCCATTTAACTTTTGGTGTCTTATTTGTTTCCTTCAGGTGCCAAAAATATTTTGATAGTGAAGTCTGATTTCGTTTGTTTATATTATTAAAGGAGCACTTATGCTGCCTCCATCTATCTTTTTTTTTTTAAATTATTCTTCGTGGACCCAATGTATATCATATTAGTGCTAGGGCTCTCTGTGGATGAAATAGTACATTGGTATACCACAGGATTAATACAACATTTATTTTCTAATGGGCAGTCTTATTTTTTTTAAAATAATAACTAAAATACTAAGGGATTATTTACCTAACCAGTTCCTTCCTATTTTCTATATATTTTTCATATATATATATATATATATATATATATATATATATATATATATTAATACATATATATTATATATATTATATATTAAATGTATCTATTTATCGATATATATATATATAATATATATACATACATATATATATATATAAGATAACGATATGCATTTTTATATATCAAGAATAGTATTTGGACAAAACGCGTCACAAGAAAACTTTTTCCAATTTTTCATATATTTTTTCCAATATATATATATATATATATATATATATATATATATATATATATATTTTTATTAAATTCTACCGACAAGGTCTGTCTAATCAACTTTACATTATATATTTACAGTTTCCAATTGAGGTGTTGGATAAAATTTTACAAATCCACAAGGAAATTAAAAACAAGTTGAATAGACAGACCTCGGTGGTGGAATTTAATAAAATTTATTAGAGTAAATTCATGCTGTCTGTCTCAATGCTTAAGAGTAATTTTCACAGCATCCTATATATATATATATATATATATATATATATATATATATATATATATATATACATACCAGCAATACGTGCGAGCCTATGTGAATGGGAATTTGCAAGTACACAGGCTAGGAGAGAGAGGTACAGTCGAGACCCCCATCCACGTTCTCCTGATTTAGAACCTCCAGACTTTTACATGTAGAGTACCCTAAAGCATGTTGTGTATCGCAGAAAACCAACAATATTGGCAGCTCTTAGACAAGTAATTGAAAATGCATGTGTAGCAATCCCAGTGGACATTTTGGTTAACGTTGCCCAAGCAACAGTTCACGGTAATAATAAATGTCTACATGCTAAATGCGATTATATTGAACTTCTGTTTGACTGTCGATTCTAAAGGTAACTTTTATTAATCTCGTGAGGCCTGAATAATTTAGTATTACAAGATCTATACAAGTTTTTCCTTTCCTTAAGTGGGTATTCATTTTTTGGCAGGCTCCATATATATATATATATATATATATATATATATATATATATATATATATATATATATACGGAGCCTGCCAAAAAATGAATTCTCATAATTGATACAACAATAGTTAATAGAAATGAACACGCTACCACCCCTGTCTGAATGATTTAATTTCTCTCTATCCTTGGAAACAGGAAATTATGAATTTATATGTGCGTATAAAACTCAGTAAATTTAAAAATAAGTTATTCCAAAATTCGCTTGAAGATAAAACAGAACTAATGCTTTTAAATTAATTATATAATTAAATTTCAAGTTTTTAGCTTCCATTTTTGAAGCATGATTATTACTGTATAGCGAAAAAAACATATTTTAAATCAGTTAATTTATAATATTTATGCTCTGTAAATTTACATTGAGCACTGTTTTGTAAAAATAAAAATAAAAAATATCAATAAGAATACCGGATTATATATCTTACTGTCCTTTCTGTTATATATATATATATATATATATATATATATATATATATATATATATATATATGTACAAATGTAATGAGAATGAAAACAATATAAATTTAAACGTTCATAACATTAATTTAAAAAAGGCTCAATACCAAGCGTAAAGCAATAGATATTTATTATAAGTTATTACATCCCAACAAGCAAGTAAACACTACAAAGATGCATATTTGTTTCGATGCGTAAGCATCTCATCAGGTGAAGAACAAAGATGGTTTACCATTTTTGTTTCTCACCTTACGCATCGAAAACAAATATGCATCTTTTATCGTGAGTACTTATTTGTTCGTATGTAACAAGTTATAATATGCATATATATATATATAATTGGTGTAGATAAAAATTCTAACATATACATGTTATAGCATCACTACAAAAATAGCCATTTTTTTAATTGTTGTTTTTTCTTTTTGTGCATGCGTATATATTTTCTATCTATTTATATTTATGACTTGAATCTTTGTGGGTTTGCCTATGTATATGTCTATGTCTTTATTAATGTATGTGTGTATGATTGCTTATATAAGCCTTTCATTGTATGTATATGTGACTGATAATATATTTCATTTTTTTTTTTTTTTTGATCGTGGACATCTATTTCCTGTTTCGTCCGTGTTTTGGGGTCTTTTTATATATAAATATTTTCATATCTGTATATTATAATTTGATTGTGTATGTATTGTCATTTACAAAATTTCTTCCCCTAGCCATATCATCACTTCAAATGTATCTAAGTTGTTACAATATTTGTATCTCCTTAGATTAGCGTTTGCTCTGAGATTTTGGCTTTTCGATTAAAACAAAATAAATAATAAAATATATGTATTTTTCCTCATTTCCTTCTTTAAATAATCTTATATTTTAAACTTAATACAGGTTAAATTTAAAATTGATCATTTTTAATTTTCTATTTTATAGTAAAATTAAATATAAATCAGTTCGAATGATTTCTATTTTAGTCTAACCCCAACATTAAGGCATTAATTAATTATTATAACCAAAGTTCGTTGTCAAGTTTTCAAATTCTCATATACTTGTATTTTGATTGGTCATTGCAGCTTATGTAACAGCGTTTCCCTATTGAGGGGTGTTTGATTGAGTTGAACCTTTTAAAACCCTTTATTCTACATTCAACACCATCACTTGATAAGAAACCAGAATGTTGAAACAAAATGGCTATTTTTGTAGTGATTTTATAACATTCATGTTATAATTTTCGAATAAATAAAATTATATATATATATATATATATATATATATATATATATATATATACACACACACACACACACACACACATATATATATATATATATATATATATATGAATAAAGATAAACAAGTAACCTATTGGGGATGCTAAGTGATGTAATTTGATGTCAAATGAATAAAATTTAGTAAATGTTTTTGTCGCTGAATTTTTTTAATAATATAATTATTATTGATTTTTATTTGAATTTGAGAAAATAAATTTATTCATTCATATATTTTAAATAATAGAATTTACCTTAACTTTGAGTTGGCCTCATGTATATTTATGAGCGTTCTTGAATTTAAAAAAATCAGGAAAATCTAATAACATTTTTACTTCCTTTTAGAAAGACTTGTTGCAAAATGAAACCTTACATTTGCCTTGATAAAGTTCATCAAAGGACGAAACACATCGGCTAAGAAAAATCTTCCTTTTGTCTTTTGTATATCCTGCGGTTGGTATTCATATTTTTTACAGGTATATTTTTGTTATATCTGAATTTTACCCCCGCCCATATATATATATATATATATATATATATATATATATATATATATATATATATATATATTCGACTCTCCCGTCGAATTCGACGTATGAGTGTCAAGTAGATCAGTTCCTAGGAAACTGACAGTCCCATGCCAGCAGATAAGATTTGATTATAGTGGTGAAGGTTTTGTGCAGAACCATCCACACTTTTTGAAGGACTGAATATGTGCCACAGGGTCCCCAAACGAGCCTCCGCAGGTTTTGAATTCAGAGTTGTCCTTCTAGACCAGTTGCCATTCAAGGCTATAGAACCCAGTCTGTCCTGCTATTTACCCATAGCTGGAGGAAGAAGAAGAGGATTCACACCTTTCCCAAGGGTATTAGCACGTAGGTGAATGCAATGGATTTGACTGGAATTCGAACTCGGCTCTCCGATTCCTCAATCCAAGTCTCTCTCTATTATTCCACCGTGTATATATATAGGTGTGTATTTGGGCAGCAACCTCACTTTTATACATGTTTCATAAAAGACGACTGACAAGGTACGGTGATTAAGCTTTTTATTTAATTTTTCTCGTGTTCTGACTATATAGAAATCTTTTCTATGTTCTGTCTGTCCGGGTGCTTTTGGCTATTCTTTTAGGCATTACCAAGGATTCTTTTAATTTTAACAAAATGTGTAGAGTTTTATGTATATATCTAAAGTTATGGGAATTTTTTTCTTACTTTTATTTTTTCGACTTCGTTATACAAAAAAAACTACAAGTAAAAATTCTTAACTCCCTAATTTTACTAATGAATGGATATACATGGATATAAAATTTTTAAAAATATAAAATATAAAATATTTCCTCAAGAGAGCGGACGAGAATTCATCCTCTTGTCCGCTTTTCTTTAAAGAACTCAACAATGTGAAACAAACGCGGGTTAACGGTTTTCCGAATTACCTCATAGATCATCAAATTAGACTATTTCTTTCTAATGTAACCAATGACAATACTGAACATGCAGATAAAAACAATGACATTAACATTTCTATAAAACTCAAATACACGTTAACTGCAAGCAGGATGAAATTTCCCTTAGAAACACTATAAAAAAACACAAAGCCCCTGTTGACCGGAACAAAAATTTAAATTATCTACTATAAAAAAATTTAAAACAGCTAACCTCATCGCCAAAAACAACAAATCATCTGTGTTGTTACCTAGGTGAGATTACTGAAGAGAATAATCAAGCGAAGGTTGGTAATGAACGATAATACTGAGGACAAGAACAACACATATAAGATTTGCTAGCGGCGCGTAAAGAAAGAAGTCAGTTGCTAGAAGTGAGTCAAGTCAGTTTCACAATGAATCGCCAACCGCAGGATATACGCCAACCACCCCACGCGATCAGATGTGGCACAAGGCCGAATTTAATGTTGGGTATCCGAACCCATAGGCTCGATTAAAACATCCCCGTAGACCACATATAAAACGGGATCGGGTAGCTGTTTCCCGAGACGAGAATCTGTCCTTCGACATAGCCTCATCTGGGCATCCTCTCTGCTCAGAGGCAGAGAGTTTGACCAGCACAGCTGGAGACGAATCTCCGACTGCAGACCAACATACAGTATTTACTACTGTATTCATGTGAATGGGGACATACCCATTATGGTCCGTACGTATATTACAACAATCTGTAAGATCCAAATTACTGATAACCAATATTATTTACGAATTTATATGTCCCTTAAGGAACTGTATTCTTGATCACGCCAAATTGCTGAATAATTATATTGGACATACCACTACATATCTATCAAGAAAACTCACGTCACATCTCTCTGACCAGAGCTCAATTAGGACTCGTTTCAACACAACCGGAAACCTGCGAAACTCCATCGTAGAAAATACAAATATAATAGCGTCATCCACATGCAAAAAAGGCTAAAAATAATTGAAGCATTGATAATAATAAAAAAAGGCCAACAGTCAATAACATCAGCTATGAACACTGTCACAATGTGCTGACCGTGTTTGTGAAAATATTCCCGTAAATCTAGATCCATACATAAAAATCTACATGTTTAAATTCATGTTGTTAGGAAACCAGGGTAAAAAAAGCTCGTCAAAACAGCTACTATGAAAATATTTATAGAAAAAACAGAGAGAAACTACGTTATGTCAGTGAGAAAGTGACTGAGGTCGAGATGCCATGTGAGGATCGATTATATTGCAGATCCTTCTGCTGAATATGAAGAACAATAGCACTGGATGGCGATAAAGTGTCACGTGAATCCGAACTACAGGAAGTCGAGTGATAGCGATTGTTGTATGAGTCGTACGATTTTTGAATCAAGCACGGGCAACGCCGGGTCATGCTGCTAGTTTAATGTTATAATTTGTGGTGCATAATTTTAATATTATTTATATATG